CCCCAGCAATGAACACTCCTTTCCTTAATGTTTCACATGCTAAGTTTTGAGCATATATCATTCCTCGATACTTTGTATGGTATGCATTTTTCGCTGCACCCGCGATTAGACACGCTTCCGCTACTATAAATGTTGCCCTGAAGATTTGTAAGATGTTTAAAAAGATTTTAGTCTTGAGCAAAAACAAAGCCTGTAGTTGAGGTGTGGCTCATCGCCTAAACAAGTTTGAGTTATATTTGCAGAAAATGGTGGAAGGGCCTACTAGAAATAGAAGTTCATATAAATCTATGATCAGCAAATGTTTATAGGTAGCATAAAATACGAGTTTCGTAACTTGGGTCAGCTACATTTATTTAACCTATGCTATCAACAGATCCGTAGAAAAGAAAACCCACATATCAAGGCATGGAGTTTAACAGCCATGGAAACTTTAAATACATCAATTATCTTCCTCCTCGAATTTCAAATGGCAGAGAGGAAAAAGGGTAGCACATTTCTTGTAGTACCTTAAACAATATCAATGCCACACACAGGATTGTGGAACTTGTTTATGTGTCTATACACAGCAATGACTCGAGACTAGAAGAAATATTTTATAATTTTAAGAATGGTTATGATAAGAACCAAAACATCTCAATCATGCAATATAAACTTAAAGGAAGTCAAATTTGTTAAAGTTCAACTTAAGTTTGCATTTAATGCCACATTAAAGAAGAATCAAGCTCCATCCATGCAACAATAGATTCAAGCTCCCTCAAGTGGAGCTTCATTTATCCAGGATGGTTACAAATTCTTAGGTGGATGATTGAAATCTAATATTTCTGGATCTATAGTGTTTCATGTATTTTTAGTTTTAAGATTTTTTATTTACTTTTTAGATGCATTTACATGATGATTAATTATTGTTATAAACTATGAAAGTTACAACTCTTGAAACGTCTCCGGGAAGGTTAAAAGTTTCATTTGAGGGTATATAAAGTCATGTATGTTGTCTTTGTAAGAGAGGCTAGAAAAAAGTAGTAAAAAGAGCATTTGTGCGTTTTTTTAGCCTAGAGCTACATTCCTTACCTTAAGATATTTGATCAACTAGGTCATCTAGATTTTAATTTCCCTTGGCTGATTCCTTAACGTTTTGGGATTCTTGGATATTTTAAATCTAAAGGCTTTATTCTTCAATAAGGTTGGTAGATTGAATTTCCAAGAGTTTCATATCATTTGGAATAAAACCATCTTGATTTGAAAGCTTTGGTATTTGTGATCTAGGGGTTTGCATATCCATAAGGGTTCTTACATCCAATTGGCTAGAGTTTTCATCGTACTAATGTACCTCTCAAAGGTGAACTTACAGAGCAAAAACCTAGCAACATGTAAAAAAAAAATATTGAGAACTGAATGCAAACTTGCTAAGAATAAGATGTATGGTAGTAAAAACATAGGAGGTAAGAGCATAACAGAGTATTTGTTCCACAAATAGCAGCACATTATTGTGGTTCTTTTAGAATAACAAAAGGAAGAAGAAGAAATTCTCACCATGAGGATAAAAAGTAAATAATAGCCCATGCCCGATTTCCTCCCGGGGTTAAAGGTCTCCCAAAACACATGCACTTTGTGACACCCATCAGCAATGATTCACCAGAGAGAAGAAATAAGAAACCTCCTACACCATAACCAGTTGCCACATCCGAGTCGTACACACAGTAGGTCGCGTTCCTTTCCTTGTCTTCAAACAGAGTCCCCTGTTAAAGTATATACATAACCCTCATCATAATGCATATTCAATTTACTTCACCAGGGAGTACAACCAAGTGGTAAATTTGTGCTGTTTCCAATTTTCATGCCTTAACTTTACACATCTTTCAGAATTATACAAAATGCAAAGCTAAATGGTCCTGATTGTTATACAGACGTGATGATACTTCTGAAGTGTATTAGATAAAAGATGCCCAACCAAATCCAAATGACAACTAATTTATAGATCAAATAATGAATCACATCTCTCCATTGAAAACAAGATTCAAAATGCAGTAAACATAGAAGAAGAAGAAGAAGAAGAAGAAGAATCAATAAACATTTCAGCACAAATCTCCATTCAAGAACAATCCAAGAACAACATCAAATCACAAAGAAGCAAAAACTTTCCAGCTCAGAAAACCCCACATTCATAAAAGCACAAATAATTCGAACAGTAAAAGCAAAATTTCAAAAAGGGGGGTTGGCTCATACCACACTTCTTCGTCTCTCGGCAGCAATGGAGAACCCAAAAGCTACTAAACACAAAACCACCACAAGAAGATGAACCAGAGTCGACCCTTTGCCTTCCATTTCTCTCACAAATCGCAACCAGGGAGAACTGAGAGAGGCTCCCAAGAGCTTAAGACTGCGAGTGAGAAAAGTGTGGGCAATCCTTTGTACATAGTGGGCGGCAGGGTGTGAAAAAAGCCGTGAAAGTTGTCAGGAAAAGGACCGATTGGTTAGATCCCACGCGGGGTTTTAGCACGTGAATTACACGCGGAATTTTATACATATGAGAGAAAGCGTGCTGCTCATGTAGCTAGGAGCTTTAAACACTGGTTTTGTTAGCCTACGGGAGAACTCAATTACAAACTTTGTGGATCACGACGACGTAGAGTAAGAAAGATAATTTATTTTATTTTCATCGCCTTTTTTTTTTTTTTATTCTTGTTAACTTTCGGACATCCGTCGGATTAAAGGGGGACTTTGGTCGGAACTTTTTGACTTCGTAATCAGACTTGCCACTCAAGTATTTTTGTCTCCAATAATTCGGCCCATGGGCTTGGCCTATGAATCAACCGTTTTACGCGTTATGTGATTATTTTTGTCTATTAAATTGTGAATTGTTGATGTTGAAGATGCCCCTAAATTATTTCTTTTTTTCTTTTTAATGGAAGCTCCACAATCACAATCACTATATACCCGTTCTTATCCGCCTATAGGCTACCTTTATTTTTCTTCCGGGTTATCGTGGTGGTTTTCTAGGTCTCTAGGACGTCTAGGTGGTTTAAATTTTATCTCTCATTTCAAGGACGCTCGGAGTTGGTCATCAAATCAAACAAATCTCTGAGTGCACACAGATCCTATGGTGTAAGGTCTATTGGAAACATACTAAGCATGCTCTACACGGAGAACACACAGTCTTATACCTAGAGCTAACACATACTATATCATGCACGCATACAAGCAAATAAACTCAAAGGGGAGATAACATCCATCAATCACCAAAAGCACAGATCACAATAGTCCATCCTCTGTTTTAACACAATGGAAAGCATATAAAACATCATTTATCACAAATCTCATCATAGTGGCATTCTTGTAATTTCTTACATCATACATACCACACTCATCCTTATAGCTCAACTAGTATTCTAGTCATGCATATTTTCTTTCTAGCCTCACATAATACATAAGACACATGGTTCTCAAAAATCTTGGGGGCATACATACATACATACAGTATATATTCATCCAAAAACTTCCTTCTGACATCCTTAACATGCATTTTATAACCACTTAAGTTAAGAAATACTCACATGCTAGCATGTCTTAGCGATTCCTATAAGTATTACTCCTCAAAATCTATGTGGTTAATTGCTTAAATGTATCTTCCTAAGCTAGCTTTACCACATGTTAGGATCTCCAAATTCTGAAAATTTATCTGGTAGGTCCTAATTCAAGTAAAATTGAGGTTAGGGCACTCACGCACGCTCCACACACCAGCCACGCGCACTAGGGGGTTCTTACGAGCGAGGAGTTTGCACAGTTGTAGGTTGCAGGCGAGTTGGTTGCAGTCAGGTTGGGTTGAGCTTTGGGTTTGGGCCTCCGGATTTCGGGTCACGTGTGGTCCCTTGGGTCGGGTTTGGGTCGACCTAGTCTGGTTCGTTACGGGTGACGACCCTCAGCGTTGGATGTCCTCCACCGATTTCCTGCCACGTGTCATTCATGGGCTCCACTATGTTTCTCTATTCATTGAGTGACACGTGGTGGCCTCTTTCTCTTTCCCTGCGTATTTTGATTTCCATGAATGTCAGATTTGCATTTTAAAACTATTTACTTGGATTTTTGTAATTTAACTCACAAAATTCGAATTAATTTCGTTTCTTCATCTTAATCCACCTTCTTAGACATATTTTTCTTGAATTTTTTACTCAACCTCCGGATGAAATAAGGATGTTCAAAGTAAGCAAAAAAAATTCATGCTTTTCGTTCTGGACCGAACTTTCTAATCTTCGATTAGCTTATTATTTCTTAAGATTTTTCATAACTTCTCGTAGAAAACTCAATCAAGACGATTCCTTCATGAAAGTTGTAGACCTTCAATCCTTCTACACATTTGTATTTTTCTCATAATTTTTAGTCAATCACAGCAATAAGTAATAGAGTACAAAATCTATCCAAAATGGTTAACGGAACACTACCTCTAAGTCAGAATCAAATTTGACTTTCTTCACAAAATTTGTGTGAAATCCTTCTAAAGTTAACTCCAAAAACTCCTTTCGAATTTGAAAGAACAAACAATGGGGAAGGAAACAACACGGCAACAAATGACATGAACAAGCAAAAACACATGTTTCCAAGTGACCCAATCTTGCTCAAATGGCTCGGTGGAATCACAATCATCAAGACCTTCATTTCCTTGTCCTGCAAATACGGTTTGAAGAAAGACCAACTAGTGCGAATCAAGAGGATCAAAGTGAACACGGTGATACCCTTCAAGAAACTAAATATGAAGAAAAGAATATCTCAACTATGGGCACTCCCAGTGCGCTTAATGTATGGTTTATCCTCACCCTCACAGATAAGACTCAAAGCCTTCATACCTCGTTTACACCTAATTAACAATACCTCCATAAACATCAATAAATCAGTTGATTATACTCAAAATTTCCCACTCTTAACTACAAATATAAGATGATTAAGAAATGGGTCATATATTTTGTAGAGGAAGTAGGAAATGAAAGCATAAGAAGGAAGCAAAAGGGTAGAAGAGAAATGAAAATTTAAGATATGAATGCTTGTGTTTCATACCTAATTTGCAGCTTCATTTGTACATGTTTGCTCATTCACAAGCTGCTATGAATTGTCTCTCTCTCAATCAACCCTCGACTCAACTAAATAGACACAAACCTAACAAGGCCCTCTTTTCCTTCACATAATATTTACTTTCATTTCCTTTCCACCTTATATACAATAATGGTGTTTTTCTCAAAAACCTTCCTTTTTCTAAATTTCAATTTTTTAATTTGTAGAAAAAAATGTTTTTTTCCTTCTTCATCCACATCATTGGATCGGCTCCGCTCAAATCGGTTAGGTTTTTGTTAAGCCAGGGCAGGGATGCTGCGGTTTCGCCTCTCCCTGTCCAGACGGCAATCGAACCCCTCGATTCTCACCGCTGGAATGTTTCCGAAGTTTGGTCGAACCCAGCCGCCATTCCGATCGGTTGATGGAGGCGGCGAATACGGAGGAGGAGCCACCTCCGGCGAAAAGACGGGGAGCATCTTTGGCTTCTCGTTCCCAAATCTAGCGTCTTGGATTAATGGGTTAGCTACTCTGCTGGGCGGCGTCCCACATAAATACGGCGGCGACGAGGCTAATTGTGTACTACTACTCTTAAAATTCTCCAAATCACAACCTCCCTGTTAACCGCACACAAGAACAAATTAATTAATAATCCTCTTGTTGGATCAATTTGAGTTTTAATAGCTTTGCAAAATTATGTACCTTAAAGAAGAGAAGATCCAAAGCATCATTGGCAGCTATGGAATCAAAACGGTGTCTAAATGGGTTGTCGTTGGCGGTGGCGTTAATGAGTCCGAGACGGCGAGGCTTTGGGCAAACAAGTCGTTCACGGCGGTCGGTGTCTGCGGCTCTCATCATCTCTTCACGCACTGAAAACACGTTCCGTTGAACCGCCACCTGGTTCATCTTCTTCCTTTTTGATTCTTTTTTCTCTCTGTTAGTACGGACAAGAGTATAGCCTTATTAGATGTAAGAGAAAAACAAGATCTGGTCAAACAAATCAAAATCAAGCAGCTCAAGTTCACATCTTGAACACAAACAAGAAGAAAAAAAACCCCCCCAATTCACAGAAACAAAAATTAAAATCAAGAACCCAGAAAAAGTGAATCGCCCAATAGATCTAGCTCAAAAATCAGGTTCTTTTTTTCCTTTTTTTTTTGAACTGAATCATGCAAGAGGTTACGAAAGTGGGAAGTAATTGGTGTTGTACAGAGATCTGAAAATTGCAAGTTTGAGGTGGAAGAGCATGGAAGTTAGAAGCAATAAGAAACAGAGTCGCAGAAAAAAGCCATAAGAGCAACCATACCTGAAGGGAAAGGGAGTGTAAGCAGAGATGAATTTTCCCGAGAAAATATTGAGCGGAAAGAGAGAGAGGGGAGGAAGGAAGACGAGGAGCGTGTTATAAGATGGGGCAAGGCGACATGAGAATCAGATTTCTTAATTATTAAATTAAATTAAAAGAGGAGAGAGAGAGAAAAGGGTAATACATTATTGGGCAACAGCAAAGCACAGCTAGAGAGAGAAACAGAGATAGAGAAGGAGACAGGGAGATTTCCTCTGTCTTCACCCCACTTTTTTTTTTTTTTTTTTTTTATTATTTAAGGAAAATATTATTAAATTTAATTTTATGGAAGCGACGTTGAACAACAATAATACACTTAAAAATAAATAACATAAAAGGACAAAAAATTGAATCGATTTTGCATTTGATTAGTTTTATAAACTCACATCGTTGGAATTGGAAGTTTATGAGGTTGGAACAACACGAACGACATGTAGGATAGCGACATTGATTTTCCTACATGTCGGTAGAAAGGCACGTGACGCGAGACGCGTGGTCATCATTTGAGCGTTGAAAAATGACACGTCGGATCTGGGTTAAACGTCGAACCGTCAAAAGAAAACGGAGGTCAACGGCCGAACGGGGACTGTTCTTCAACTTTCACACAAACTGCTTCTCCCAAATTCTCAGGAAAAAGAATCCCAAATCTTCATTTCTTCTCCTCCGATCTCTCAATCTTGAAATGGGTATTTCATGGAGTAACAGAAGAAGAAACAACTATATTCAAAACCCACCTCCGCCGCCGCCGCCTCCTCCTCCGCCGCCCTACCTTTCTTCTTCCTCTTTCTATTTTCCACCTGAACCCCAATCTCTTTCTCCTACTCCACCACCACCACCACCACCGCCGCCGCCACCGCTGCAAACCCATCATTTCACCAATTCCCACCCTCCTCCGCCGCACATCCATCCTTACNTTTTAAAAAGATTGATGTTACCATCTAGGTATGATTAGAGATTTTAATTTCTTAGAATTATATTTTTTTCCATTCGAACAAAGCGGGATTTAAACTTGACCAAATTATATATAAGTAAATTAATTTTATTAGGAAGAAAAATAGAAATTCTACGGTATTTTAATTTAAATATAATTGAACTAAAAATAATATATTAGTTAATTAAGTCATATAAGGTAGAAAATAAATTAGAATTTAATTCAATTACAATTACATAAATCAATAAATTAATAAACTAATTTGTAGGGATTTAAATTAATTGATATGGTAAAATAAAATGGTAGGTTACTTGAATTCATTTTATAATATTTTAAGGAAATTTGAAATATTAATTCAGGTAAGAAAAAAAGAAAAAGAAAAAGAAAAAGATAATGTGGTTCCACCCCTGTTGTTGTTTTTATTATAATAATTTATAAAGAAATTGGTGTGATCCATTTGAACGTGAAGGTTGTGGATATGGCCGTGTTTTCTTTTCTTTTCTTTTTTCTTTTTTAATTTCCTACCACCACGTGGATAGAAATTTTCTTTTGAATAAAAAATTAATTTTTTTAGAATAATAAAAAGGCCCGCTGTTGGTAATTGTTATATATATATATATATATATCAAATGCATCCCATTCCATTAATTATGCAATTGGATTATAAAACATGCAAGTTGACGATATGTCGACCACGACTTGTGAAGTAACAATTATTAAAATAAAATATAATTGTAAATTCAAAACATGGGGGCGGGGCCCACTTCCTCCTTCGATCTAATCTGATGTTCGTGTCCATCCAAATCTCTTTTTAGATTCCATTCCATCGTCTCTCCTTTTTTATTGACTTTTCTGAGATACCGCTCTCAATTGGATTTGTTTGTTCTAAATTTTTATTTTATTTTTAATTTCCATTTTTAATGTTGACCTTTTTTTTTTAAGAGGAGAAAAAGAATTGTTATCCTAATTGAAACTTAAAAGAGAATAAAATTGAAAAAAAAAATGTTGGGTAGGAAGCGAAGAATAGTTTGTTGACGTGATTGATATGGATCTTGGAATGGAGATTGTGTTCATACTTTGAGTGCGATGGGCAATATGTTTAGAAAGTTTTATGTTCATTAATTTAATTTGTCGTTTTACATCCACTATGTATTTTTATTAGATTGTTAAGATTTAAATACTTTTAAATAAATCCTTCATCAACCCAAATGTTTCAAAGTTTAGACTAGGTTGTGATAAGATCTTATACCAATATGATGTCTCTCTCTAAACATCTTTGTGTAAGATTCATTAACGACTCTTCCGTAGGAACTACCACAAGATCCAAAAGTCTAAGAGAGCGACCTTGTGTGCTAGCTAATTATTGACTCTACTTGTGTGGTGCCCTCGTCCCCTCTCAAGACGGGTAAACAACACAAAGGTCCTGTTCAGAAGACTCAGGGTCATTTCCACAAGGTAATGATCCCTAGTTGCATCAACGAACTATCCTATTTGGCCGAGGCCAAGCTCGACAACTCCTGCAATCCTATCGCTTGATAGTGGCTCTAATGTCCCAACCTAGGTGACTGATAACACTAATGGTGTATTAGAGGAGATAGAAGTGCAAAGACTCTAGTAATACCATTCACACGGCTAAGCCTGGTAAGCTTTCTTAGTCATTTCTGGGTGCTATGGAGGTTAACTAGGTTTTTGAGCATCTAGGCAATTAAAATTTTAGACTCTCTCTCTCTAGACTAGCTCTTTGGGTTTAGAACTCTAATCATCGCTCATGATCTTGAGTGCTCGGTCTATTAAAGACATCTTGACTTAGGTTCATATAATCGTCCAAACTTTAGTATCATATTCTTAATTCAATACGTTTATACATGCTTAAGTAAGAAGATAACTCAATCAATCACTTGGAGTACAAATTTTATTCTCAATACAAATTCTTCCCACAGCCAGTGGCTCGGTTACCTCATATTTGAAACTTCAAAGTAAAACAAATTTTCAATATGAGGGTCAACTAAACTATATTTCCTCCCTCTGTTTCCATAAAGGCAAGACCAACTATCATTAAAAATGAGAAACAAAAGTGAGATTAGAAGTAAAATCTTCATTAATGTTTATTATGTTTAAATAGGATACATGCTACACCTAACTCTTTAAAATGAGAAAAATATAGTACCAACCAACTCTTAAAAAAAAGGAAAAAAAATACTAATTGATTATCATAATACAACAATGCTGGTTCGGACAACGGAACATTTAAGTCTTGAAGAATGTATCTCAACCAAGTTAACTCTAAACAAGTATTTCTCATAGCTCGATACTCGACTTCTGCTAATGATCTAGACACAATGGTTTGTATTTTAGACTTACAAGAAATAATTAAACTTCCTAGGAAAATGTAGAACCCTGAAATAGACCATCAGCTAGTTTGACAACCATCCCAGTCAGAATCGCAATATACTTGTAATCTAAATTTGAGATGGTAGTAGAAGTCCTTGACCCAGAGTACCTTTGATGTAGCTCAAAACTCGAAGAACTGACTCCCAATGTGATTTTCTTGGTTCATGTATAAATTGACTAAGCATACAAACTTAATACACTATGTTAGACCTGGTAACAGTTAAATATATTAATATACTAATCAATGGTATGTATTTGCTTGGATTATTCAACCTCTCCTTATTTTAAAGAAAACTTCATTTGCTCCATAGAAAATTTTTCTCGACATGCTCCTGTAAGACCTATGTCCTGAAGAATGTCTAGAGCATAATTTTTTTTAGACAAAAAAATTCATTTTCTAGATCGAGAAAATTCAATGCCCAGGAAATATTTGAAATTCCTTAAATCTTTGATAAGAAATTTCTCGAGTAAACAAGTTTTGAGATGTTGAATTTCTTTGAGATCATTGCATGTCAACATAATATCATCAACGTAGATAAGAACTGCAGAGAAAGAAGTATCTCTACTCTGAGTAAATAAAGAGTAATCGACTTTTGACTGAGTGTAGCCTGCATTTTGTATAGTGGTAGAGAATATGAATAACCAATTGTGAGAAGCCTGTTTTAACCCATAAAGAGACTTATGTAGCCAACATATTGTATTCTCCTCTTGTCGGCAAAGACCTGATGGTAAAGACATGTAGACTTCCTCGTCTAGATTATTATGGAGAAAGACATTTTGAACATCCAACTAATGAGTGAACTATTTTTTAATAGCAACAATAGTGAGTAAGCAACAAAGTGTAGTAAGTTCATTGTAGGAGAAAATGTTTATTTGTAATCAATAACTTCAACCTGAGTGTATCCCTTTGCTACCAGCCGAGCTTTATAATGTTCAACAGAATCATCAAAGTTGTATTTAATCTTGTACACCTAACGACAACCAATAGCTTTATGGCCAAGTGGTAGAGAAACGAGAGACCAAATATGATGTTTCAAAGCTGCAATTTCAGCATTTATAGTCTGCTGCCATAATGGGTTGCCAACTACCTCATCATAGGTTTTAGGTTATGTCTGGGCTCAAGTAAGAGTTAGAAAAGCACATTGAGTAGAGAAAAATGAGAGAATGAAAGGTAACGATGAAGAGGATACCTAGTGTCAGTGTTGGGACTTGAGCTAGATGTTAAATGATCTACTGCAAAAGACATCTCATAATCATTATGCCAAGCTGGAGGCTGTTTGGGACGAGTAGAACATCAGAGTGGAATTGATGTATCAGGTGTGATAAGATTATAATTAGTGAGTGAATCTGGAGAAGGAATAAAAGGTGAAGGAGATGACGAAATAGGAGGAAAATGAATCTTTGAGTAAGATGAATTAGGGAGTGGTAAAATGAGAGTTGAAGGAGCTAATGTCAAAGTTTGTGAAGCTGATGAAAAACGAAAATTATCTTAACAAAATTTAACATCACGACTGATAAAGAATTTGTGAGACTGTATGTCATACAACTTGTAACCTTTGTGATCACTAGAATATCCTATGAATACAAGGAATTGCCATAGATTCAAATTTTTGTTTAGGATGTACTATAGTTGCATAACATTTACAACAAAGAACTTTAAGATCATGAAATGTAGGTGGTCATTTGTAAAGTGCATCAAAGGGTGTCTTGTTAGATAACAATGGTGATCATGTTCTATTTCTAAGATAAACAATAGTTAAAATGCACTCTTCCCAAAAA